TAACAGTTACTACAAATGTTGCCCTATGACAATGGTTAACAATCTCACAACACATCAACAATATCCTTACTCAACCTTGGGTTCCCTATCACCAGTTTCCTTGTCCCCTTCTGCCTTCTGGCCCTTGAAGTTGACAGATATTTTTGGAGGACACAGTTCAATCCATGACAATTCCCATTGTTGTATTTTTATTATTATTTTTATTTTGCTTCAAGTGGTACCTCTGTCAATTACATTTGAAAATATGCGTCTGACTAAAAATGAGAGCAGCATTCTAAACTTGAAACTAGATTTGTTTGTGCATTTTCACAATGTTTGAAAAGTCAAATCTGGCCATCTGTCTTGCCTTGAATCTAATGACTTCATTGCTTTTTTCTGATATTAAGAAACTCTGATTATAGTGTTCTCCAAATATCTTTTTGTCACATGCTATACACTATAGAGTCGCTATGAGTCAGACAGCAACAGCTTTGGTTTGGTTTTATACACTACGTCAAGTTTTTCCAGACTAAGTGGGTTAAACTATGGTTGCTTTGTAGCCATAATTGTTGCTTTATTTATTGGGTCATTTTCTACTCATTTGTAGTACTCTGCATTATTGTTTCAAACTGTTCACTTGTTTGTGAAGCTTGTCTTTTGATCAAATTTCTCTAGCCCAAATAATAAGCTTCCTGAGGACTGAGATTATGCCTTAGCAGTGTCTACAATATTTAGCAATTAGTCCTTTTATATAGAGAAAGCATCAACATGTGCTTTTACATTGAAAATTAAATGAAAAGCACTTTCAGATTATATCACTGTCTCTGATGTGATATTATTAATCTTTTCACCCATTATTTCTCTAAAGTGTATTCAATGCTTTCCCTTCACATGATGTAATTTTCAAGTATTATTTTATCTCATCAGTGTGGCAGTGATAATTTACATGGAAAACTTCCAAATGGTAGAAACTGAGTCTTTTGAACTTGCATTGTATTATTTAACTTGCATTATCTTTGTACATTTTTCTTCCAAAAAAGACTTTGTGTCAAAATCTGTATTAATTAAAAATATTATATAGCAAAAGTATATACAGTTCCCCACCCTCTAAGTCATTGGTCTTCCTCCACATCTCTCTCCCTACCATGCACACACACACTTGAACATTTTACTTCCCAAAAGTTAAGTGCTATTGTCAGTGTCATGTACAGTTTTAGAGTTGTTTTTAAGAAATGAATTTCAAAATATTTTAAAACGTGGTTGTTGGGTGCCATCAAGTCCATTCCAACTCATAGTGACCCTATGTACAGCAGAATGAAACACTGCCCAGTCCTGCGCCATCCTCACGATCTTTGCTATGTTTGAACCCATTGTTGAAGCCACTGTGTCAGTCCATCTCATTGAGAGTCTTCCTCTTCTTCACTGACCCTCTACTTTACCAAGCATGATATCCTTCTCCAGGGGCTTGTCCCTCCTGATAGCATGTCCAAAGTATGTGAGACAGAGTCTCACCATCTTCCCTTCTAAGGAGAATTCTGGCTGTACTTCTTCCAAGGCAGATTTGTTCTTTGTTCTGGAAGCCCATGGTATATTCAATATTCTAAGACAATACCATAATTTAAATGCATAAATTCTTCTTCAGTCTTATTTACTCACACGCATATGAGGCAACTGAAAACACCATGGGTCAGGCCCACCTTAGACGTCAAAGTAACCTCTTTGCTTAACACTTTGAAGAGGTCTTTTAAAGCAAGTTTGCCTAATGCAATGTGTTGTGTGATTTCCTGACAGCTGCTTCTGTGTGTGTTGATTGTGGATCCAAGTAAAATGAAATCCTTGACAACTTCAGTCTTTTCTCTATTTATCATGATGTTGCTTACTTGTTCAGTTGTGAGGATTTTTCTTATGTTTATGTTGAGGAGTAATCCATACTGAAGGCTCTAGTCTTTCGTCTTCATCGCTAAGTGCTTCAAGTCCTCTTCACTTTCAGCAAGCAACGTTACGTTATCTGCATACCACAGGTTGTTAATGAGTCTTCCTCCAATTTGGATGCCAAATTCTTCATCATATATTCCAGCTTCTCGGATTATTTGCTCAGCATACAGATTGAATAAGTATGGTGCAAAGATACAACCCTGAGGCACACCTTTCATGATTTTAAACCGTGCAGTATGCCCTTGTTCTGCTCGAACGACTGCCTCTTTGTCTATTTACAGGTTCCTCATGAGCACAATTAAGCATTCTGCAATTCCCATTCTTCTCAATGTTATCCATAATTTGTTATGATCCATAGAGTTGAATGCCTTTGCATAGTCAATAAAAAACAGTCAATAAAGCATCTTTCTGGTATTCTCTGCTTTCAGCCAAGATCTGACATCAGCAAAGATATCCCTCGTTCCATGTCGTCTTCTGAATCCGGCTTGAATTTCTGGCAGTTCCCTGTCGATGTACTGCTGCAACCGCTTTGGAATGATCTTCAGCAAAATTTTACTTGTATGTAATGTTAACGATATTGTTTGATAATTTGTGCATTCTGTTGGATCACCTTTCTTTGGAATGGGTACAAATATGGATCTCTGCCAGTCGGTTGGCCATGTAGCTGTCTTCCAAATTTCTTGGCATAGACAAATGAGCACTTCCAGCGCTGTATCCATTTGTTGAAAGATCTCTCAATTGCTATTCCGTCAATTCCTGAAGTCTTGTTTTTCGCCAGTGCCTTCAGTGCAGCTTGGACTTCTTTCTTCATACCTTCGGTACTTAATTACATGCTACCTCCTGAAATGGTTAAACATCGACCAATACTTTTTGGTACAATGACTGTGTATATTCTTTCCATCTTCTCTTGATTCCTCCTGCGTCGTCTAATATTTTCCCCGTAGAATCCTTCAATATTGTCCCTCGAGGCTTGAATTTTGTCTTCAGTTCTTTCAGCTTGAGAAATGCCGAGTGTATTCTTTCCTTTTGGTTTTCTAACTCCAGGTCTTTGCACATTTCATTTGTCTTCTCGAGCCACCCTTTGAAATCTGTTCTTTTCTTTTACTTCATTTCTTCCTTTCACTTTAGCTATTCTACACTTAGGAGCAAGTTTCAGAGTCTCTTCTGACATCCATTTTGTTTTATTTCTTTCCTGTCTTTGTAATGACCTCTTGCTTTCTTCATGTATGATGTCCTTCCACAACTTGTCTGGTCTTCAGTCATTAGTGTTCAATGCATCAATTTCTGAGATGGTCTCTAAATTCAGGTGGGTGTACTGAAGGTCGTATTTTGGCTCTCATGAACTCGCTCTAATTTTCTTCAGCTTCAACTTGAACTTGCTTATGAGCAATTGATGGTCTGTTCCACAGTCATCCCCTGGCCTTGTTCTGACTGATGATATTGAGCTTTTCCATTGTCTCTTTCCACAAAGGTAGTTGATTTGATTTCTGTTTATTCCATCCAGTGATGTCCATGTGTATAGTCCCGTTTATGTTGTTGAGAAAAGGTATTTGCAATGAAGAAGTCGTTGGTCTTGGAAAATTCTGTCATGGAATCTCTGACATTGTTTCTATCACCAAGGCCATGTTTCCAACCACCGATCTTCCTTTGTTTCCAACTTTTGCATTCCGTTCACCAGTAATTATCAATGCATCCCGATTGCATATTTGATCAATTTCAG